AAGAGTGTCCCACAAGAGTGTCCTACAAGAGTGTCCCACAAGAGTTTCCTACAAGAGTGGCCCACAAGAGTGTCCTACAGAGTGTCCCGCAAGAGTGTCCTACAAGAGTGTCCTTTGGACATATTAGTTTTTCGATCGTGCTTGCATTCGGGTTCGTGGGTTCCATCTTGTTACTGTTCTAGGGCGTGCGTGCTTTTGAGAAGCTTTTTCAGGACTTCGGATCAGTTGTGGATGTTTATCATCAGTTGCTTGGGATGCTGAAAAGGTTACAGGTGAAATCACACGTCCCAGTCAGATCATATCTCATCATATACATCTGCATAGCACTGCAAAGCCGGATCTGCGGCGCCCCAGATCCTATTGGCCACTTTGTGTGTTGGCAGGAATTGATGGGCTGAGTGGTTTTGGCTGTCATGAGAGATTTCTAAGTTAAAATTTCTTTTGGCTTCAGGCTGGTTGGGTCTACATTCTTTTTCCACTTGCCAAGGGTGTGTCACGAGATGTTGGCTTTGTACACATTTTGGTATATTTTGGGGCTTAGCAGACTTTATCTTGCCGCAGCGCGCTTTCCTGAGGACGCTCCGTCCGTTTGCCCGTCTGCCAGTCAGTGCAAGTCCGCCCAGGTGATGTCGATGCTCGTGGATCCAAATGTGGATTCCCCAGCCAACATCGATGCAGCGGTCAACATGAAGAACGACTACGAGGGCTGGAAGAAGAAGGCGCCCTCAGAGCTGGTAAATGGGCTGGATGGGGTATTTGTCCAGCAGTCTTCATTTTCAGGACGTTCAACAGGAGTTTGTGGCGTTTGCAACGCCTCAAAGTGTTTCGTTTGCCTTCTCAAGAAGCTGTTTTCGCATATTTGTTCAGAAGGCATGAACCTCAAACGGTTGAACTTCTATTGCAACAAGTCTTGGAAGCGGCATTTCTGTGGGTCCAAATTTCTTCTCGTCCACCTTCAGCCCAAAGTAGTGAAAACATCAGGTATGGACTCGCTTGACATCAGCCATTGATGTGACTGCAGTGCACGATGGTTCCAATCCAAACAACATTCATTCGATGTTGTGAACAAGCGAAAAGAAGTGCAGGTCAAACACATGCGAAGTCACAGGAACTCTCTTGATCTTTGTTGTTTGATTGTGGCAGGGATTTTCAAGATTTCAGTTGAATGAATAATGACCATCTCTGTCGAGATTGACTGTGGGTTAGGGCCTGTGCTCAGAGAGAACGATTATGATTCTGAGCATCAGCAAGAAAAGGCGTTCTGGAACCCACTCCAAGCAATTAATTTGTAGCATGTCCAAAAGCGGACTGCACCCTTTTTGAGTTGAAAGAGCTTGGGTGTACATGACCATCCCTTGTCTTTCCTAGACGTGTCTTCCCTTTTGGACTATAGAAACCTCACCAAGTACATCAGCCTCCGATCTGTGCGCTCTCCACCTGTGAAGCAGCAGCTTCACAGGAGTGCCGCGCTAGTTGCCACACGAAAAAGAAAAAAACACGCACGAAACGCAAAAACGTGGTCTCTGGCAGGTGAGGCAGCTGACCCGAAAGAGTGTGGAAGGATGAGGATGTGGCTGGGTCCCTGCATAGGACTTCCATTCAGTTTCCTATCGAATCCATTCTGCAGGGTCACTGCATAGGCACATGTGATCTTTTTGGGGCGGCCCAGCACCACTCTGTACAAAGGAAATTCGTGGCGGGGGATTTCCAGATTTGCGCCACGGATGCCAGAGGTGAGTTTCTTTTATGTCTAAGACAAGCGGCGACCATATGCTGCTCTGTGGCGACCAGTTTCATATGGTTTCCATCCTTCTTTGTGTCCTACGAATCCACAATCCACATCCCCTCAAATTCTTTTCGGCCCAGATTCTTAAGGCTTTAAAGGGCGATGGAGAAGAAACCATTTCCGTAGAAACATGTAGAAAGAATGCCTGTGAAATGATTACTGATTGGCTTCAACATGCTTTTCAAGCGGTGTCCTTGCAATACTTCCTGATCTTCAACCAACTGTCGCCACATAAGTACCGGGCGATTGCGACTTTAAGGACTTTTGAGAGGAAAAACGGTGGCGCAAAAGGCAATCCAACTGGCCCAGCCAGCTTGGCCGACCGGAATCCCTGTGACGCCGGCAGAGCGCCGGACGGTGGCCGGTGGACGGTCGGGCCTGATGGACCGGACCGTGCTCGCGGTCGGGTCGGGTCGCCAGTGGGGACGGGTGAAGGAATGTCTCCGTCGGCTGAGCTACCGGGGGGCCATGGTAGATCAATGAACCAGCCAGTGTTTTTCCATCGCAGTTGGCATCTCCGCTCCGATCCGAATCTCCACCCGGACCCACGCTCCCACCAAGTGGGAGCGTGGGCCAGGAATAGCGCCGAGGTGTCTCAAGCCTTCCATGTGATCCCGAAAGGTTTCTGGAACAACCCCAAAAGCCACCATCCTCCCATTCAAATCATTGTCCGGAAGCCTTAGTGATTTTGGTGTAAGATTTCTTGGCACAATGATTGGTCAGCGGCGTTGTTTCGTCCTTGGTTCGGAATTGAAACCCTTCCATCGACAAAGCGGTCAAGGGTGGACTCCAAGTATACTACCCATCATCGTGCTGTTTTTCCCATTTCCATTTTCAGTTGTTGTGTGCTGGCCGAGAAAGCCCTCATCAAGTTATAAGAACAAGGCCTTTACCAACCATCATAATCCACTGTTACTGGTAATAGGATAGACCCAACATATATTTATATAATCATCTATAATGTACTGTGTATATAGACTATAGTATATACATATGCAAGTGAAGGTAAAGCAGAGCTTCACAGAAGGCTTGGACCGCATCTCACACGCGCAGCCCGAAACTAGTGCAATTCAGTGCAGAGCCTAGACCGAAAGCGAGTGGTGGCATATGGAACCAAAAAGAGGGAAGGGTCGGCGACGGCCAACACACACTTAAACACCCACGTTGGAAATCCAGAGTGGGCGAAGGGTGCCCGCTTTGTTGGGGCTTTGCGAAGGCCTCCGCTTCAGAGCCCTCAAATCATTTGATGCAACGAGATCACGGTCTGAGCGATCCGATCTGCCGACTGGGGTGATGCATTTCATGCCGAGCTGAATGGAGTGAGATGCACGGAGGACGCCGCTGCCGAGGCAACCCACACATCATCGCTGCCATTTGCAGGTTTCACGCCTGACCACCAAGCATCAACGCCCACATTTGCTGATAAAAGAGCCTCAGGCTTTGCCTGGCAGAGACGTTCACTCGCGACGAAAGATGGACATGTTCGGCAGCCGGTCAGCCTGTCCCAATTTCAGACATTTTGAGAGCCTCATCCAAACATGCACATGGGAAAAGGTGACCAACATCTCTGACTCCAGGCTGTGCTGCTCAACAATGATCCATTTGCCTTGCAGACTCTACCTACACAGCCGAAGCTTAGCGGCCGAGTTCCGCTCCATGGCCCCTCGCTTCGCCTATGGCGGTGACGAGACGTGGATGGACGAGACCCCAGGCTCCGGTGACGGGCACTGGGGATGAGAGTTATCCGATGGAAAGAACACCGGAGAGCTGAAAAGAAGTAGCATGTGGCGTCTCTTGGGACTGAACGTTGGGGCTTTTGCTTGGTTGATTCCCTTAAACATTCCGCTTCGATGATTTGTTACAAACTTCCAGTTGAACATCGAAATTGAACCGATCACATGTATGCGCAAATGCAAGACATGGAGCATTCCCAGATCCCTTCATCTTGGCCAGCCACACATCCCTTCGTTCCTGAACCAGTGCCCGATGCAACTCGGCACATGGGCGGTTCCTTGACGCACCACATCTGGCCAAACAGCCTGGTCGCCCAAACGACCGCCACCTGGACCTCGGCGCAGTCACGGTCTGACCCAGCAGGGGGTCAGCACCTTCACTGGAACGGCCCCGCCGTAGGTCCCGGAGTCCGGTCACGACTTCACCTGGACGCAGCTTGCTCCATGCGCGCAGCTTGCCTCATCTCTGCCCTCCTCTTGCTCTCAGCTCCCCTGCGCATCGTCGCCCCTTTCTGGAAACGATGTCCGATGTCCGACGACGACAAAGATCCGATCCCGATCGGAAGGGACGAACTGCGAGAGAACAGCGATGCTGTTGGGATCAGTTGGAACCCAGATGGATGATTTGGATCATTTGAATGCTTTAACATGATGATCGAAAGGGTTTGAGGTCACCATGGATCACAGATCATTGACGAAGTTCGGAGTCACGCCGAACTGATTTCTTTCTGTGTCTTTTTTCTCCGCAGTGATCGATGCGTGGAAGCTGGAACCCATTCGCTGGCGGCCGCCTGGGTCACCCAGACTGGTGAGATGTTTTTGTGGTAAGTTCTGACATTAAAGTCTTAGACCAGTAGTAATTAGCAAGAAGCTACTTTATTATGTTGGAGGCCATCGCTACTCGGGTGGAGGCCATCGCTATTAGGTCGGAGGCCATCGCTACTCGGGTGGAGGCCATCGCTACTAGTAGAAAGGACGCTACGAGTAGAACGTGTAGAGTGCTTGGGGCTCGCAATCAAGCGCCGATCGGGTCAAGCTGTCTCTGTAGTCGACCGGGTGGAAACGATGGTCGCTGCTTCGAGATTCAGACGCATGTCCAAAAGCATAGGTCTCACCTGGACCTCCCACAAGATCATTGGCTCTTTGTTCCAGCTGCAAGCTCAAGCCCGTCTGTTTCGGCGCTTACTTCCGGACTGATCCAACTCACGATGTCAGTGGAATTTCTGTGCGGCACACTTGGAAGTTCCACTGCACATTCATCGGGGGATGATGCTCATGTGCACAACTTCACCAACAGGTCGCAGCACATCATGTCCCAGGTCAAAAAGCATCGCCTCATCGGTGGTAGACACGCACGCTCGCGCACCCGCGTGCGCGTGCACACACACACACACATGTGTGCGCCGGGCTGAAAGCTTGCACCAAGCTTTCCGGTAAGTCGACGCATACCATTTCAGTGGTAGAAACAGGGGAGGCGTCACCAGCAATGACAACTCACACCCACTTACCACTTTACCCAGACCCAGAGGTGAAAACATTCCATTTCAACAGGAGTGAGACTTCCACTTTGCCACTGGGCACTTGTTGTATTGTGAACTGTCCTCCAGCAAGTTCGAGGGGTGTCAGCGACTTGGTGAATGACAAGCGCCATCGAGCCTGACACCTGAACGATGTCCAAATGCTGAGACATCCCAGGCGGTGTCGCATATTGTGTGGTTGCTTTTCCGATCGCCTACCTTGAATGAAGTTGAAAATTACTTTCAATTCCTCAAGAAAAGCACACGCCTGGAAGAGATGGCCTCTTCATTTCTCAAAAGAAGTATGCCACTAATTGAGATGGTTCACAACTTTGAGGCCTTCTATGGCCCACAGCACGGTGGCTGGCAAGTCCGCGCCCGTGTCGCCACCGCGCCTGCTCGACCACTGCGCCTGCTCCACCACTGACTTCCTTTTTTCGTGCCACAGAGCCCAGTGGGGTGCGCCACCGCCACAACACCACACCGCTGCCGTCGCGCCGTTGACGCACCCCGTTGGTGACTCTTTGTTCGTGCCCCCCTGTGCAGCCGACTCTGCCGACTTATTTTTCAGACGAGGTCTGCGGGGTCACGGGCAAGTGCCACCTTGGCGCCCAACGCTTCGGCGCAGTTAATTATCGATGCTTCTTGCGCGTGGAAAAGGCCAGGTACGTAGTCAAAATCAATATGTAAATCATCCAGCAACAGGAAAATGTTTGAACAAAGGGAAATCATCGAAGCGTTGTTACAGTCCAGCAAATCAATGGATCATCAAAAGGAAGAAACGTCTAGGACCTAGGAAACCAGAGGAACAGTAACGCCCCTCGACCATCCTCGACTTTTCCTTGCTTTTTTGTTTTCAGCGATGTTTCATAATTTTTGCAATGGTTTTGTTGTTAGCCTTCATTGTTTTAGGGTGGGTTTGTAAGGTTTATTGTAGAGCTTCGCAAACCGGCGATGCCATAAAGGTTGTCGTCGCTGTCCCTGTTAGGGCTCGTCAACTACAGTTTGATTATATAGGCTTTGCTGTTTTTGCCTGGAAAGGAATGATGCCTGCCTCAAAATCTTGGTTCGGTTGCTGAAAGTAGTCCAGGTGATCGTCAAAGGATGGGGAGCATGCAGCAACAGGTGTTCACGTAAACCCCCGGACTCAACCAGAAGAAAAGTGCGCCTTCGTGCATTGACACGGCTGACTCGTATTCATTCTGTACTGTGCTAGGCTCTTCTACCAATCAGGCATTTCCTGTTTTTCAGGTGCCTTACGACGGTGAGCCTTGTATGCTCCGCCTGCTGCCTCTGCCTTCATGTGGCTGCAGGTGTAGGACTTCATATTTCATCTCCATATCATGGCTTGGCATGTTGTTGTCATTCATTCATGGTAGCATTATGTTGCATTGTTGCTTGCAGAAACGGTGTGGAACAGCTTTGCTCCAGGCAAAATGCTTTTTTAATGCAACCTCTCATGCATTGTTTGCGCCGTCGGCCCTTTGGAGTGCCCTGAGCGCATGTTTTTCCACTTGCACTGACTGGCTC